TTCTTGCTGTAATCTGGACCTTGACTTTGTACAAAGTTGCAAGAGTTATTTCCCTTGGGTAGCGGAGTACACTTTCCCTGGTGTATTCCCAGGAGTCAATGGTCACGAGAGTGCAATGCCTCGCCCATACCGGCTTAGTGTACCACTTGGACCGACTAAAACAAGGTAGGTGTACGCCAGACCGTGTCTTGTCGTCGCCAGTTTCGACCATCCACGCCTGGCGTATACACCTACCTTGGCCTGCGGCGCTAACCTGCCTTCGGCAGGCTGCTTTCCTAGGCAGACCGTAGAAGTGTACGCCCACTCAAAAAATAGCATTTGGTCATGAAAATCTGCACCGATGGGATTCAACTTTCGGTCGGGGGTCCGAACGGGTTCTATTTTCGTCATCAGCAGCCTTTAAAACATATGAAATGATATGAAACTTGACAAAAAAATTGAAAGTAACTAAAGAGTTGTCTTTTTTCTGCCGTTTTTGAAGTGTTTTTTGGCTAATATGACCGAATAGATTGAGATAGAATGCTGAATTTTGGTGTGTGGCGAGCCAAGGACATACCTAATGACCCTGCAAAATCCCAGCCAGATCGGCTGAGCCGTTCAGGAGGAGTAGTGCACACACACACACACATACACGCAGACAAACAGACAAAACTTTTCAACCCCACTGGAGTAACGGGCTTCGCTATCGCTCAGCCAAAAAGAAAAAAAAGATTAGAACGAATTTGGAGTGTATCGGCATCGGCCTTTGTTCCTTGGACCTTTCATAGTGATGTTGCAAAAACGCAGCCCGATCGTATGATCGATTAAGGACAGGAAACAATCTGAGTGTCTTAATTGACTCCACTCGAAGATGTGGCTCCCCTATCGCTTGGCCAAAAACAAAACATCTAAGAAAAAAGTCGAACGTGTTTGTGCGTATGGAGGGCAGACTCGTTTCACTGGGAGATAAAATGAAGGTTGTGGCTGACAATCCTCATGCCAAACTCAACTGTGCATCGAAGGGAGGTGTGTACACTGTTAGAAATTAGCTCCGAAATTTCATGGAGAAAAACCCTATAATCACGTTCATGGAGACTCCATTCATTTCCCATCTTTTTTCGGATAGATTTTCTCAGGGCTTAAACAGATGTTCTTCGGAGCATTACTTGGGTTCTGATGGGAGGTATAATGCATGTATTTTCTCAGACATGTTAAAGAGGGCTTCGCTGAGGCATTCTTTAGCCTGAAATGGCCAAAGAAGGAGCTCATTTGACTTGTATCCTGTAGTTTTCCCTTGATATTATGAAAACTGAACGAAACAAGTACGGGGTTCACCTTTCCCTCAATTTTTAACTGGTTGCAAACCTTCTTTTCGTGTTTTCGTGATGGTGAAGGATGCAGTTTTGTTCAAAATTCCCAAATTTTTCGGCGAAAGCCCAGAGTTTGCCTCATGGAGAGCTCCATGCAGAAGTTTCGGAAAAAACTCCTTGATTTTTCCATCTTTTATTCGAAATTTTCTGAGAGTGTACCGTACCCAGGGTAGGGGGTTTCGGTGTAGCTCAGTTCTCAGTTAATGTAGTTCTTTTCTGCGTCAAATGCCAACGGCCACTTTCGAAAAATAAAAAAAAACAAAACAAAAAAAAACTGCAGAGTGAGGGGGTTGTGGGCCGCAAACATGCGTGGGTGATTCCGTGCGTAGGGGGTCATTTCAGGTCACCGGGGCCTTGCGCCTGAACTGAGGTTGATTTGGTAGCTTCGTCAATTCAAATTTGTTTTACTAAACGAAGACCATGTCCTCATGTGGATAAGTCAATCTAACTTAAGTTTTCGTAGGTTTCGTAAGCTGCTAAAGTGCCGTATTGTAAGTTCCGCTATGGTCACCAACACCTATAAGACAACATTGCCATGCTGTAGTATATGACTCAGCCACATCAAAAGAAAACTGGCTATTTCACTCTCTTCCCTGACTTATTCTTCGCAAAATTACGGAAGGTGACCTTTGTATCATCACTTGTTGAACCCGAAACAGCCTATGGGAAAATGTCCACCGTGTGACCATGTGGCCTATGCTGCTTTCACAACTGACGGTCCACTGGGGTTCCTTTTTGTTTTAGAACCTCGCGACCACTTGGGATCGAAAGAACATAAAAAAAAACGCTTCCAGAAGCCCGTGCCCGCGGGACCTGGGGCGGTCAAACGACGCCTCCAGGCCGTCAGAATTGTTCAAACGGTAAGGGTGTAAAAATAGATGTAAATTCCGTTTTGGGCCGTAGCTCCTCCATCTGCGGGAGAAAGTTCCCACAACCTTCGCTGAAAAACGCTACTTTAGATGCTCAAAATGTCACCGTCAACAGTTTTTACCTATCTAGTAACCCAGCGGGTCAGGAGTCTAAACACTTCGCTTTGTAAATTCCGTAATCTGTAAATTCCATCATTATTTCTGTAAATTCCGCCGTATTTCATAGGGGGTGAAATTACTTGTAGCGCTGCCACGCTCAGAGGGGTACTGTGGGGTACTATGTATGCCATCTACACCAGACCCTCTACGCACGGAATCACCCGCGTACGGAAAAATAACGGGAGAAGTAGCGATACACATCGGCAACTTTGGCCCGTCCCGTTCATAAAGAAATGTGGGATTTTGCCTTTTTTATACCCCAACGAGATTTGATCCTGAGTCTGTGATCAAAATGGATGTTGTTTTCGTCATCAGCGCCCTCGAAACATGGAAAACACTTCGCTTGAGCTTGAGGAAAAAAATGATTGGAATATACCCTACTGGGATTTGAACCCGGGTCCAAACTTCTTCGCTTCGCTCGAATCTAGTACCGTTGACCTTGTCTCGTCGCCATGATTCCGAAAAATACCCCTACATGCCCTGCTAGCGGTATCCGTCGCCAAAATCCTCCTCGACCCTATACCCCATGTAGACCACACTGCAATCCAAGTGTGAGACAGTCCCACACTATTTACAAGGGAACGTTTTTAGGTCATACACTCCGATTTCGACCAAAATTCGGGAAATCGTTCGTTGTTAGACTAGATTAAGATGGGCCATCAAAGTTGGTGCAACAATACATATCTAGAGGGTCAAATGGGGCTTCAAAGTTGAGTTTTTTACACTTGTTTTCCTGCTTTTTGGGCCTTAAAGGGCGAGTTTTGGAGTGGACTCTCCGTGTCAAGATTTACATCATTTCCGATGTGTTTTGGGTCGCTGATGCCGAAATCACTATTATTTGAACGTCCGATCAAGTTGTCGACCAATTCCGACCAAGTTCCGAACAAATTTGGGCCTTTTTTGACGTAAAATTTGCAGAGAGCAGCTCCAGCCAAAAAAAACTTGGCCGGGGACCCTCCTCAGATCTGGCTCCCTCCCGTTTTTTTGGGTTCCTCTAGTTAATGCGAATTGCCGAAACACAAATTGGGCCGGATCCGACACCGATTGGCTTTTTGGTAGAGGTCAAAAACCCCGAAAAATGGCTGTTTTTGAGGGTTTGGGGCTTTTGGGGATCCTGGAACCTGCTAGCCAAGAAATCTACCAAAGTGTCGTTTCCGAAAGAAAAAAGTGCGCTCTTTCGAATGCCGGGTTGCGCGAGGCTCTACGGCGTTGGGTTCGGACGCTACGGGCTCTCAAAGTTGCTCAATTTCACTATTTTGAACGAAGATTTGACCATTCGAGGGCCGTTCGAAGCAGACCATCGGCGATTTCGCTCCTCTTTGGCTTAAATGGTGCCTTACCCATAGGTAAACACCCTTACAAAATTTCAGCCATCTCAGGCAATTATTAGAGGAACTGTAAACAATTGAAGTTTTGCGTCATTTTACCACTGACCTTCGGTGGTTTTGGGTCCAGCCAGAAAAAATATTTTTTTCAACTACCTCTGTTTGATCAGCACCTCTTGAAACGTCTTGAAACCTCAAAACATTTTTTCGATGACAGACGTGTCTTTCTCTAGTTGTGATTAGAACAAAATTATTTTTTCTGGACCCATACCACCGAAGGTCAGTGGCAAAATGACCCAACACTTCAATTGTTCACAGTTTCTCTAATAATTGCCTGAGATGGCTGAAATTTTGTGGGGGTGTTTACCTATGGGTAGGCACCATTTAAGCCAAAGAGGAGCGAAATCGCCGATGGCCTGCTTCCAAAAGCCCTCATACGGTCAAATCTTCATTAAAAATAGTGAAATTGAGCAACTTTGAGAGCCCGTAGCGTCCGAACCCGACGTCGTAGAGCCTCGCGCGACCCGGCATTCGAAAAAGGGCACTTTTTTCTTACGGAAACGACACTTTGGTAGATTTCTTGGCTAGCAGGTTCCAGGATCCCCAAAAGCCCCAAACCCTCAAAAACAGCCATTTTTCGGGGTTTTTGACCTCTACCAAAAAGCCAATCGGTGTCGGATCCGGCCCAATTTGTGTTTCGGCAATTCGCATTAACTAGAGGAACCCAAAAAAACGGGAGGGAGCCAGATCTGAGGAGGGTCCCCGGCCAAGTTTTTTTTGGCTGGAGCTGCTCTCTGCAAATTTTACGTCAAAAAAGGCCCAAATTTGTTCGGAACTTGGTCGGAATTGGTCGACAACTTGATCGGACGTTCAAATAATAGTGATTTTCGGCATCAGCGACCCAAAACACATCGGAAATGATGTAAATCTTGACACGGAGAATCCACTCCAAAACTCGCCCTTTAAGGCCCAAAAAGCAGGAAAACAAGTGTAAAAAACTCAACTTTGAAGTCCCATTTGACCCTCTAGATATGTATTGTTGCACCAACTTTGATGGCCCATCTTAATCTAGTCTAACAACGAACGATTTCCCGAAGTTTGGTCGAAATCGGAGTGTATGACCTAAAAACGTTCCCTTGTGAGTTTGTCCCTCGTAGAAGCCTCTTGAAGGTTCCATTGTTTGATCACTTCACCTAGACCACGCGTAGAAACTCTTCCTAGGTCCCAGGTGCGTTCCGAATGAAGGATCGTGACGCACATGCAACTTAAAAGGAGTGGAGTGCTTCTTGCCAGCTTATCGCCCGAAAGGAGACACCTGGGCAGAAGTGTGGAGGCGACCTATAAATTGCCCGAGGAGTGAAAAGCGAAGTAGTTGTTGGTGCAGCTTGGTACAAAGCAGCCACTATGTTCAGCAAGGCAGTCCTCGTCGCCTTCGTGGCCCTGTGCTGCACCCAGGTAAGCATTCCGAGAGGATGCCCGCACTGGGAGAAAAGAGTGAGGATAAAGAATCGGAACTTGCCTACACCGCCCGTTCTTGCCAACTTCAGTATTTCCCTGCTTGATCTCAATACCCAATGTGCAATAGAATAAGAAGGGACGTTTTGGAGTTATGGGGGGACACCACTCCACAGTGGCGCGAAACGCCAAAAAATGCGACATCGTGCGACTTAAAATAATTTTCCGATCTCTCTGCTTTTTCCACTGCGTATGGTCATTTTATGATGTTCTCTAGCAAAAGAAATGATTTCCTAGTAATAGCTGGGCATATAGAGCTAAAAATCGCGAAAAACATGAAAATATTGTACCAAAATCTGCCATTTTTTACACGTTTTTTTCCCGTAAAACCGACCTTTTTTTCGAACGGGCAACTTTTCTCAACAGATTCTGAAAGCCAAGGACAAGGCCTACAACTTTTGTTATGGTCGCTACGCTGTAGCGAGGTCGGCCATTCGACTTTTCTGGCCTCAAAGGTTTTTCTTTCGTAAATTTAATTGGAAAATTATTCCTATTTTGACAAATTTTGTTATTTTCGTGCCCCTGCGGTCCGTTTTACGTCCAAACCAGTATCAATTCATCCAATCAAGTTTATATGAACTGGAAATAGATGTAACGAGGCAACACAGACGTCAGGGCACAAAAATAACAAAATTTGTCAAAATAGGAATAATTTTCCAATTAAATTTACGAAAGAAAAACCTTTGAGGCCAGAAAAGTCGAATGGCCGACCTCGCTACAGCGTTGCGACCATAACAAAAGTTGTAGGCCTTGTCCTTGGCGTTCAGAATCTGTTGAGAAAAGTTGCCCGTTTGAAAAAATGTCGCTTTTACAGGCAAAAAAACGTGTAAAAAAAGGCAGATTTTTGGGACAATATTTTCATGTTTTTTGCGATTTTTAGCTCTATATGCCCAGCTATTACTTTGGGAAAACATTTTGTTTGCTAGAGAACATCATAAAAGACCATATGCAGTGAAAAAAACAGACAGATCGGAAAATTATTTTAAGTCGCGC